TAGACAATAACACCAAAAGTTTGATAGAACGATGTTGTCAAATGAGTCCAAAATAAATGAATGTGACAAGTGTGTATACGTGAAAAATACACCTGATGCCTATGTGATTGTTTGTCTATATGTAAACAATATGTTGGTGATGGGCAACAGTCACAAAGTGGTGTTAAACGCCAGGAAAATATTTATGAAGCATTACGACATGAAAGACATGAGTGTGGCAGATATAATACTAGAGATAAAAATCTCCAGTGTACTTTTTCAGTCTCATTATGTTGAGAAAATATTTAAAAAGTTTGAAGTATTAGAGGAAAGTTCGAAAAAAACTCTATTGACACAAATCTACACTTCGTCAAAATAAGGATGAAATCGTGTCCCAACTGAGATATTCATAAGTAATTGGCGTTCTAATATATATTACAAACTGTACTCATGGACAATAGTCACAAAGTGGTGCTAAACGCCAGGAAAATGCTTACGAAACATTACGACATAAAAACATGGTTGTGGCAGATGTAATATTAAAGATAAAATTTCTAGAACATAGGAATGAATTGTACTTTCCTAGTCTCATTATGTTGAGAAAATATTTAAAATGTTTGAAGTATTAGAGGAAAGTTCAGTAAAAACTCTATTGACACAAGTCTACATTTGGTCAAAATAAGAGTGAAAATGTGTCACAGCTGAGATATTCACAAGTAATTGGTATTATAATATATATTAAGAGCTATTCTCGATTGGTTAATACTTTTGCTGTGAATAAACTTAATAGATTCATAAGTTATTCAGGCCATGATTATTGGGTGACATTGACAGGGGTTCTTAGGTATTTAAAATATAATATAACCTATGGATTACATTTCACAAGATATCATGTGGTATTGGAAGGATATTGTGATGGGATGGTATACACTAAGTCTACGGATGGAAATGGATGAAAGCCCTAAAGTGGATGAAATGGGATAAAAGCCGATCATGACGGTTGTTTGGACATATGATAACAATTGAAATATTAGAGAATATTCATAAAGTTCAAATGCATTGTAATGATTTAATGATAATATTGAATACCCATGTACGAAATTCACTATTAAATATGACAGACTAGTGTAACGATTTGATAGAAGTTCTCCAATATTATTTGGAATTGACAAAGGTTTAGATAAAACTAATAAGAAGCATGTAACTTCATGAGAGGATTTCTCAGTAGGTGATAATGTGTATCTATTAAATGAATCGATCATTGGTTAGCTAAATTTGAAAGTATACTAAGTCACATGTAATGGTAAGTCTATACATGTACGTTGTGGACATAATACCATAAGCAGTTGATCTCATTGGTGTAAACTTGTGGATTCGTTTATATATATTTACCAAGAGATCAAGTATACTACATATCGAAGGGAATGAGATTAAGCCTATTGAGTAAGAGTCCTTATGATGGTAACCTTACCATGTTGACTGGAGATCACAATATCTTGGTTCAAAGGGACAACTAAGTTATAAAAAATTTCATGAAGCACTTAGGAAACTAATTTCCTAATTCATTCCTATGATACCAAAATGCTTTCTGCAGAGTGGTTAGAGGTTAAGATAAACTTTTAATGATTCCTATATCTTGATTAAGTCAAGTGGAGTAGGGCGGAATACTATTAATAGGAGGTCACCTATGTAAGTATGAAGTGGGGCCGCTTCAATGAGAATTATTCAAAGCTTGAATTCTCTAAACACTTACAGAATCAAGATGGGTTCAGGGCCAAAATGAATCAAGTCATGATAACCGTGAACGATTTATGGGAGATATTGTGTGAGTATTGTTGCCCTGGTTTACACCAACGGTTGATAGTTTAAGAACATCGCTTCACCAATTAGCTAGTAAATCCGATATTATTTCACTAAGGAAGGTTCAAAGCCAAAAGCTACCTTACCTGATGCAGTGTTTTTCCGCTCTCTCTCTCTCCCTCTCTACTAATGTTTGCATTATCATTTGCATATATATAATTTCCATAATGTTTGCATTATCATTTGCATATATAGAATTTTCATTCATGCAGGGGATTGTTGGAAATTGGTTGAGGACCAATTTGCATATAAATGAGAAATTCGATCCTATTTGAAGGAAATTAAAATTTGGGGTGTGCCCCTTCACCTACCACCCTTCAACTCCTATATATAAGACCATTTAGATGTTTATTTTGATCATCATATAAATTATTCTTTCATGTCATGTTGCATAAAACATTTTATAGAAGTGATTTCATTTTGAATCAAAATCATGGTCATGGTATACAAGGAATTCCGTTCGAGTTCATTGGTCGAAATCATTTGGAGTGCTCCTATGGCTCGACATGGTCGATGTACCTTGGAAGATGATTGCCGGAGAATCGTTAGCACTAATGCGGGACAAATTCATCTTAAAGACAAAGTGTCCAAAACTTGCCTCGGCAAAAAATCCATTATTTGCATTTTCTCGCTTCATTCTCCGATTCCTTTGATTACACTTTGATTTCAGAAAATCATTAACATTGTTTACATGTTTATTTTGCAAGGTTCGATCTACTTTCATTTAAAAGTAGAAAATGGATGAATCCATATTCATACGTTCAAACTCGGTAAATTATTGATTTGTCTTCTCAAATCCATTTTGGTAAGTCGAAATTACGTTTCGATTTCACGCAAATAAACGATATGATTTTTGTGAATATAATATGTACAATATAAGTGTAATTTCTCCAACATTTTCTCCTTTATGAAAACAGTCTTCACAAAAATAACAAGATTTCACTAGAAAAACATTACGTGTTTTTCACTGTCACTGAATGAGGATAACCAAAATATGCAGCATAAACATCTGGAAACATCTTGTAAGGAGTTTGAAGGAGCGAGAGACACACGATGGATTCAGGGGGTGGACGAAGGGATTTGGCTGCCTCGACGACAAGGTGGTTTTCTTATATGAAATCTTATTATTTTCTAGGTGGGGAATTTCCTTCTTCTTTTTTAAGTAAAAATAAAAATCCCTTCCGTGTGGTGGTGGTGGTGGTGGTGGTGGAGGAGGAGGAGAAAGTGGAGGAAAGAGGAGGGGAAAGAAATATACTTTTTTCTCATTTTTTATTTTTTTAAAATTTATTTAGGACTCGTTTGCACTTTTGAAAAAAATAAAAAATAGGAGTATGATTGCAATTGATTCATTTTTACTCTTCTTTATCTATTATTTAAATAAAATGATATATTCGTCATTTTGTAACTTTTTATTGAGAAATTAGATTAAAATTGATAAAAGTAATGATTTTGTAATGAAATGTGTAAATAAAGATGAAAATGTAAAAAATAATAATAATAATAAAATGCAATATGGGGTATATATATATATATATATATATATATATATATATATATATATATATGTTTTAACATTTTGCACAATAAACTTCTAACGTTTGGACATTTTGTGATAATAACCCATTTGAAAATATTCTTCCAACTTTTATTGTGGTGTAGACACAGAAAGTGGGGTGTAAGTAGAGTGTGTAGGATAAGGCCTTCTATGTTATTATAAATAAAAAGTCTCGTCAAGATATTGGAACTTTTAAAGTGCGTTTGATTGTCAATATTTTCATAAAAAATATTATTTTTTCATCCAAATTTTTACTTTTGTGCTGTTTAATTAATATTTTTTTCATGAAAAATATTTTCATACTTTTGGTCACGTGATTATTTTTTTTTCTTGAAAACAAGAAAAATATTTTTTTTAGAGAAGTAGTTTTGTATTTTAAGGTAATTCACTTTTTTCTCTCTCATCTACTCCTCCTTTTTCCCATCTACCTATCAACAAAAAAGTGATAAATATAACATATTCTAGGTTGAAAATAAAATCAATCAAACACATTTAATTAATAATTTTTCATATAAATGATTTCTAAGCAATTCAATTGTCTAAAATTTATTTTCTTTCTATGTAAATTTTATACTTGCAATCAAACACACCCTTATTGTGGTTTAGACACAAAAATTGGGGTGTAAGTGGAGCTCATAGGAAAAAGCCTTCGGCTCCAAGCCTAAGAAGGGGGACAGGGCGCTCGGCACTGAGAAAGGTGACTTGAAGAACTGATGGAGTGGTCGGGACCGTACAGCCCGACCCATGGCGAGCAGGCATGGGGTTGATCGAGGTTGTGCTATGTGTGTGACAGTGGTCTGAGACCCATGTACTCCCAAGTTGAGTCTAGGAGTTGTATTATCATGTAGTATTTCAAAAATTAAAAACTTATTGAGGTGAATGATATAATTATCACTTTTATTTATTTCTAAATTAAACTCTAATCTTGGATTTTATATTGTTCATGTATCTTAATTAATCTCTTTAATAGTCTAGGCTTTTAAACAAGTGTTTCGATATATCAAGTTCTTAACGTCAATTCTCACAATCAATCATTTACGAAAATTTCACGAGCCAAATTTTTTGTTAGTAAAAGAACCCCTTTGCATGAGCGTGCGCGAACACATGAAAACAAGCTCTGATTGACTCTAATAAATAACCTTGTGGGTTATTTGCACATCCTCGATGCTCGATCACTCTTAACGGCTATTTTAATATCTCTGTTCCCTTACATGGAGGATATGCTTCTTTCACAAGTTCGTTTGCATATCCATTCAGTAAGAAGTGTTAGAGAAAAAGTAATGCTATTCATAATTACGACTCCAGTAGTTGTTATACGTGACATACATATGATTACTTATTATTTAATGCATGAGGTAATAAAAAACTGTCATATATAAAAGTTATGCCATATAGAGCGACTACTAACAGTCCTTACTATAAATAGCATTATTCTTCGAGAAAATGCCCAACCCAATATTTGAGCAGTAAGAACCACGACAGATGTGCTTTCTATTATATTAGTGCATGCAATGAGAGTATGAAACCACATCTATACTCGTATATTGACCAAAAGAAAACAGAAAAGACGAGGCCAATGAAAAATAATCAGCATAAAACGTAGCACTGCAGCAGGGAAACGAAATTTGTATAAAGTAATTATGATGACAAAATAATCGAAACTACGCGAAACCCTCACAAGGGTTTATGTACAAAGAACGGGCAAATCCTTATGGTTGTATCTGAAGACATGGAAAGAGATGTTTTTATATCAGCAACAGAAGCCCAAGCTTATGGAATTAACCAAAATCCATTTTTGGGGCGCAACAAGAATTTGTATCCTCAAATCATATCAGAGGGGTTTATCATGAATCCACTGACTTTTGCCGCTTCTGTTATTGCTGCTGGATTGGCCGTAGGGCTTGCTTCTATTGGACCTGGCCTCACAAGCAGCAGCTAGTTCAGGACTCCATTTGCTAGCCTCACGGATAATTACATTACCCTCGGGCCTTTTCCACAGAAAAGGGGAATCTTGTGTTACAATAAAAGCAGAAGTGGTGTGGATTATTCAAGAATCGAAGTTCTCACTATATAATTGTATTATTGCAGCGGCAGACACAAATAAATAAATAAATAATTGCATTCTTCATATTGCAATTCCTGTTGATTCACGAATGATCTCGAATATCCCTATTAGATTTTCTATACTCAATAAAACTATGATGCACCATTCCAGCAAATCTGACTTTCTGTTTTGAAGCACTTCTTGAAGAAAATGAATGTTATGCTGCAGGAGACAAAGAAAGTGTAATCGAATTCAGAATCAAGATAGTGTAATTCAAGAAATTACACGACTTCAATAGATAGTTACAGCAGAAAGGTTGCAGAATATGCATACCTCAACAAATTTTAGCTTAAAATCAAGGTTTCCAAATCGTTGGGCGACCTCATATTCCTCTCGAAGGTAGTCTAGTATCTGAGCATATTTAGCATCTCTCCAAGCTATTTCTGATCTGAGCAATGAAAAATTATGGATTTTAGATACTATCGGACGAAATCTTAAGGAATACAAAGTCACATAAGCAAAAAAAGACAAAAGGCTTAAATTTAACTAGGTTACAAATATGGGGATCTAAATTCGAACTACCAGAGACCAGTTTATTCTTAGACAGCTCATCAAGCACTTGTTTCCCAGGGTGACCAAGCTGAGTCAAGTCAGAGAAAATAGACCCCTATAAGAGAAAGCGTTATCACTATATCAAGTGAAGCAGCGGCTAACAACCTAGACCCACTTTTCATTCCATTTTTGGAATTTGATGATCTATAAACCGAACGATCGGCTCATGTTTGAGCATGATGAAACACTTCGGGAGAAGATAAATTCGTTCCTTGTAGTCACTTATTTATAATCCTTCCATATTGTGGCATTGCTCCCCCCCAACTTTTGGCGATTTTAGATTAAACGCGTTGACTTAGTACTATGCAAGCTTTAAAGACTATCATGTGATATCTCAAAGAATTTACAAAAAAGTCACCTAACAAATAGATTAAAATCCGATCTAAAGTTTCACAATTTTTTCTACTCCTAAATTTTCTGCAATGAATTTATAACCTAAACCCAAACAGATAATTTTGACATTAACTAGAAGAGGCTCAACTGATGATGACAACATCAATAAGCATCAATAATAGAGAGAGAAGCAAAACCTTGTGAAAGCTCATGCTTAGAGTGTAGATGATCAAACCCGAGCAAAACAACAAATGTGGAAAACCCTAAATCGAGTTTACACTATTTTTTTCGTGTCTTTTATGTACAAGTCATCTCTAATATTAATCAGTATTCATACGGACAACACATGAAGTAAAACGCATCGATCCCATTTCATTACGCTTCGTGATTTGCAGAAATACAGAACCACATATTGGACTTCGACCTAAAATCTATGGGAAAATTACCTCTCAAAAAGACCGACTTTGAGAATCACATCAGCTAGATTTGAGTTTGCCTTTCCAACAAGTTGAAAGAGCTTCTTCCTATCCATTGTGAAAGTACCACTTTTTTCCATACCACGATTAATATCTGTGAACTGTTCAACTATACCATCAACCTGAAACCGAGAGAGATTATTAACTTGAATTAAGCTTATTAAGACCACATGACTAACGTACAACCACCATCGTAAGTTAGAGGCAGTTGCAAGCAAGAAGTTTCTACAGAAGGCTTTTAAAAGTTTGCTGAAGCAGAATAATACAGAAGAAGGATAACATATCTAACTATTTACCTGTGAGACAAAATAATCCAACGCTATACTTTGTCCAAGCACGCTGCTAATTACGCGGATACTATCTACGTCTAGATTTTTCAGAATAATGTGATCTGGACCTCCCTGCATATCGTCAACCAACAAGGGCTTCTCTTTTATGGCATAATCTGATGGTAAACAGAAAAGTAGACTATGATATTTATGTAATTCATGTTGTGTGAAAATTATAGACACTGAGGATGCTGACATTCATCCTATACAAATTTAACAATGTTTGTAAAATGTGACAAATATTGACGAACATTTATGGAACCACAATAGTCATATAATTCTAAACAGCATAATGAAGTGTTAAAAGCATTGGACCTTTCATAAGAATTGGCAATTGGGTTTGACTTTACTTGGTAGTTTCATTTTTATTCTTTCGGCCTCGCTATTTCCTCATTTAATGTTTATTGGCAACTCCTAACCCTAGTGTTATATTGTTCGCGAGCGAGCATTTTCCTATTGTCAATTTTACAAAAAAAATCTCTATTCTCTCTTCTTCCCTCCCTCTCTTGTGTTTACCCGGCAGGTTCGACTTTTATAATTTCACATATTGACTGACAGTCAAAAAAGGGAATTCAATATTCACATTCATCAAGGATACAACAACAAACTAAAAGGGTATTTGGTGAGGATTAAAATTAGATTTTTTAGTAGATTGTGATAGAAGTTTTTGAAATGTGTGGTTGAAAAGTTGTGGGATCGGATGTAATTCATATTAATTATTAGTGTTTGTTTAGTACTACTTTTAAGTGCTTGTAATCCATAGGTCCTAAATAATATGTGGATAATAAATGGATAGTACGTTATGGGTCCTATAAAATGTGTAAATAAAAATTATGTTCGAACAGCTAAAAAAAAAAATGTTAAGCCTTGCCAAACATGCAATAAGGCTAAGAGAATGTTTGGATTTCACTATAAGTTGCACAAAATATAATCATGATAGAAATGAGTGGTGAATAAGTGTATGGTAATTATGGGTTCTATGAAACGTGCAATTAAAATTAAAGTTTGATTTTGACTTTAAAATTAGAATGTACTTGTAATGTAATCCATACAAGCACTTATTCTTAATACATTGGGATTAGCTACATATATCCTTTTTGTTACTATGTTCGGTTCAACAATATACCCTACGTAAGATATATAAGTGTGTTTCTACGTAAAACACTCTCAACTTTGGGGTGACATATCTCCATGTTATTTTCTTTAAAATCTACAAGAGAGGTACACTATAATGGACATTTGACTCCTTGGCCATTATAGGTCACAATATATCAATTAAGAAAGCATACATATGATGTTTAGCAAAACAAACAAGAAACTTAGCCCCCGTTTGGCCCCATTTTTTAGAAATTAAAATTGGTGGAATAGTATTTTTTTGAAACATAAGTGGTTGAAAAAGAAGGAAGAATTTTTTATTTACGTATAATATTATTTTATGAAAGATTGTGTGGTTAAAAATAGGAGAGAGAAAAATAGAATGAAATTTAATGAGAATTTGGCCCCATTTTTTAGAAATTAAAATGGGCGAAATAGTATTTTTTTGAAAAATAAGTGGTTGAAAAAGAAGGAAGAATTTTTTATTTAAGTATAATATTATTTTATAAAAGATTGTGTAGTTGAAAATAGGATAGAGAAAAATAGAATGAAATTTAATGAGAGACAAATGGGGGCTAAAAGGAGTCTCACCGTCTTTCTTCATCTCAGGAAGCAATCCAGAAGCATGTCGTCTAACATGTTGTAGGTAGTATTCAGCTTCATGATCCTCTACATTGAATAGGACTGCCGAACCATATTGGAAGACAACCATGTAACGACAGCAACTATCATTCTCTTCAATTACGCTTCCCTAAAATGAAATGTTCATTTTTGCACGAGGCATATTTACCAAAAGCAATTCAACAAAAAAAAGTTTGAAATTTTTTTCATACTCTAGTATAAAAATTGATCTATAAGCAGTCACACTTGCTCATTCCAAAGCCATTGAAGAATATAAATGTAAACTCTTAAACACAAACATTTAGTGGTGGCAAGATTAAAGGATGAGTGATATCAGAAGTTTAAATGTCGATTAAATAAACTTAATTCATAACTAATAATCAGATCTCCCATGTATATTTCATAAGTTATCATACTAAACAATTTGACAAGAAATATCAAAAGTTTCAAATTTTACAAGTAAAAAGAGTGCAAGGGTTGACCTAGTGGTTAACTTTTCAAACCTCTTTCCAAGTTCAAGTCTTGTGGTTGAAAAAAGAGAGAGAGGGTACCCAAGAATTAAGTGAGAATAATCTAGTACCAAACAAAGACAAGATCGTCAATTCTACTCCAGTAAAGCAAGGTACTACAACGATGGCAAAATTTAGAATGCAGTTTCTCCCAGCACCCCAGTGAGTGAGACATAAAAAGGGTCATGGGCATATTTTGCTAATTTCACGTACATAGAAAAAGGGGGTTTTGTGTAAGGCTGAATTTGGAGGCTAGCTTAAATACCAAAAAACACAAAACCGTATCTCCAGATTTGGAAGAGGCTAAATAAAAAAGTCTGTATTATGTGGGTGCAGTTTTTGTCCCACGTTCTTAAAGTTTCAGAAAATAATGTGATGCCTGTACTCCAAACTGAAGTCCTTTTGATTACTGAACATATTTACCGAGTCAGCAGGAACTGCAATTTTATTTAATCTCGTGTTTCCTTAAACTATTTTCAGTTAATACAAATCTATCACTATTTTGGAGAAACTAACTATTCACTCAGCATGCATGAATGCATAAGACATGTATAGCATGTGGTATGCGAAGTATAAGGGGACATTTGAAAGGGTTTCATATTATTTAATCTGATTTCAATACTTGATTGACTTTATCTCCCACTGCCATACTACATCCTCCCCCACCCCTTTCCCGCCTTCTGGCACATCCACACTCCCGCAAGAAAGTTTTACCTCCTTAACATTGTTATTAAGAAGAACGTATAAAGAAAACAAGTTAAAATAATGGGTAATTAGCACAAAACGTCCCTACCTTTCATGATTTTTGTGGAAAACGTCCCTACCTTTCGTTTTTTGGCGCATTTCATCCCTACCTTTACCTTTTCTTGTGCAAAACATCATTTTCATCATTTTTTTCAATAAAAAGCTATAAAATGACTAATATGCCTTTCTATTTAAATAAAAATAAATAAAGAACTAAATGCAATCGTAGTTCCAAATAAAAAAATTCTCCACCTCCACCTCCTCTTTTGAAATTTTTCAAAAATTGGAACTATGATTTTAATTAGTTCTTTATTTTTTTTTAATTTAAATAGAATGGTATATTAGTCATTTTATAACTTTTTATTGAGAAAAATGATGAAAATGATGTTTTCCATAAGAAAAGGTAAAGGTAGAGATGAAATGTGCCAAAAAACGAAAGGTAGGGACGTTTTCCACAAAAATCATAATGAGTAAGGACGTTTTGCGCTAATTACCCTTAAAATAATCTAATGAACATTTATATCTTGAAGTATTTATGATTGGAGGAAGATGTCTGGGTGTTTGAGACCAAAACAAAAATCCAAAATTTTAACGAGACATAAATACTAGAGTATGCAAATTAAAATATATTGAACCATAAAATTAGTTATTAGTGTCATCCACTGCATATAAATTCCACATCATTCTCTGTAGACTCACAAATCACATTGTAAGGCATTTGTAGTGCTAGGAAATAGTAAGAGAAGCATTCAATGGACAACATTTAGTCAGTTACAACTTTCCAATGCTGCCTACGCAAATCCAAAGGCAACTAGTAATGGCTGCATGGTCAAAATGCAGTTTCATCAGTAAGGTTTCGGGCCCCCTTGTTGCCAGGAACTATTAAAATAAGTAGAATGCAGGTATATCAACTCTTACAGTTTGCAGTGGGAGATTGCAAAATCTGAGAGCAATATAGTTTGATGAACGCGAGGTGGGAGGAATCATATTCTTTGAATTCTCCGCTTGCATGCTCTTCAAATCAACACTGTAAAAACCATGAATCTGAGAAACCAGGTAAACGAGATAGAAATCTAACAAAAAGGAAGTAGTGACACAGGAATCCTGAAAAACACAGACATGATCATGCACATAGATTTAACCAACCAAACAACTGACAGAATGCGTGCAGTGGTTATTTACAACTTCCATGTGAATTAGACACCAATCATTCAAAACTCTGGAGTATGGAAGGAGAAACAAAAATATAAATTTGCAAGGTCACAATGTATTCCAACACGATAAAAATATAAAAACTGAAAGTCGTCATTCTGTTATTCAGCTGGTGATCATGCTTCATCAGCTATGGCTATGAGAAGTTACGCCTTGTGAATGGTAACTTCAGAAATTTGTATACAGATGTTAGCACAATTCTGAACAAATGTAAAATGTAACCCAAAAAATTGCTCATATGATTGTGAAAACTATTTTCTGACTTCACTTAGTCCAGGCCTGCTATATTGGAATCTCCAATTTACATTATTTGTATGCTCTGTATACCATTTATATCAGTAATGGATGACCCTCCTGGCTACTTAATAACATCACTGAGTTGAATAACAAAGAGAATTAGTTGATTCAAGTTTGACCATCTGAGAGAAAAATAAATCAGAATGCAAAGAGTAGCGGTTGGCTGATAGCAGTTCAACTTTGTTCCCTGTCATACTCAATTATCGGAACGAACTTGAAAAGTTCAAGGCTTTGATGAGAAAAGGAAAGTCTATCAAAGAAAATAATCGGCCAACTTCAGTTAGGCGACTGATGAAAACAAGAATGGTGAAGATAATATTATACAGAATAGTCCAGTTTTGTCCAGAGAAAAGGATGCCTAAACAAAAATATCTGTATTCGGCAACATTGTCTTGTGCACCCAGAAAACTAAAAAGCTCAAAGTTCTAGGTTTCCAAAATGGCAGTCTTTGATGCCTCATTATATATGTTATTGTTTATTTATTTGAAATTAAAATATTCCATGATCAACAACAAACAAAGCCTTATTCTTTGTAAATTTGAGATCAACTACAAGAATCCATTTCCATTGTATTATTTACTTCACTACACCTTCTAGAAGATCCAATAAAGTACACATTTATAACCACAACAAGCCATGCTCATTTTGTTCACCGAGGTAGAAACTTCAGTGGTCAATTTCTACTAATTTCTCCGTTGTATCCTAGAAGACAAGTGCTCAAAAGAACCCTTAAGCACTTACTATAAGGAGGTGAATCTAATTTAAGAACATGTATAATAACAAGCCTCGGTTTGCAAATTTGTTCTCTCTTTAGTGATAAATATATTTGTGCAATTCTTGATTTCTTGTTTTCTTCATTCTGTAATCAATAAAACAAATTATAATATTATGTGACATTATTCTAACAATTATAACATGGTGTTTGAAGTGATTACATTTTGTTTCATAAATATGGATTTTCATATTACATCATCTTTTAATCTAATTGATGGTTGCTTGATGCTAGACAGTGGGTTGCTTCACACTCAATTATACGTCCTTGGATTAACATTTAGCAAGTACTATGCTTTTCATCACTATTTTTCTCTCTCTATCGATAATAGTTTATAATGAAATGAAATTATAGAATTGTTGTTGTTTTGTCGGCTTATTACTGAATTATTGTTGCTTGTTGGTCTGTTGCTGGATGTTGTTGTGGTATTGAATTGTTGACATATCATCGACATATCCTGTTGTAGAAAAAAGGGTATATACCATGTGGCATCTCCAACATATCGGCACTGATAACATGTAGGTTCCTCGCTGTTTTAACGCCCTAACTGAATTCTTAGATCTGACCCTGCCCTTATATATCTTTTGCTACTTAACAATATATTACCAAAAATACTAGGTCTACCACTATTCGCCGCAATTTTCTATATCAAACAACCAATAACCACACTACAGAGCGCCAAATTCATGATTACTCAGTACAAATTATACATTCACATGTACCCAAAAAAAAAAAGAAAAAGAAAAAGAAAAAAAGGAGGCTTTTGTTTAAATAAAATAAGCAACTTTTCAATAGATTTCAAACTACATAACCAAAAATTCTCAACAAATCAACATTTTTTTTCTATTCACCACCCACAGCCGTTAACTTCCCCGAAATATTGGGATAATGGAAATAAATACAGCTGAATAATAACAACTCGTTCAATATACATGAAAATAAAGTAAAGAAAATTAAATATACACCCATAACTGAAAATAGAAGGAATTATATCCAATTTATTCATATGAACAATGGAGGAGAAATGAACCTTGTGCAAAGGAAAAAAGCTTTCACTAAGATTTTTCCAGTGTCCTCATTTTCCTTTAACTCCTCCGAATTGTGGTCCAGATCAAAATTTGGGGCCTTATAATCGAAATCTTCAGCATAAAACGGGGATGGAGATGGAAGCGCAGAAAATGACCTGAAATTCGAGAATCGATTTCTGGGCAGTGGAAAATTCGAAGATCTAAGAGGCGGGTTTGGACAAAATTTTGGATTTATCGATTTAGATGAAGCCATAACACGGTAAAAGAGGAGAGAAGTTCTCCATCTCCCCATTCACTGGAACTTTTTTTTTGGAAAGTTCTGTGGACTGAATGAATTTTGTTTTTGCTGTTCTACTTTTATGTGTGTTTTCGTGCTCACGTGGAAGGATTCGCTTTTTGTTCGTCATTTGTTAGGTTTAAGATTGACGAACAAAACTCAACTATAAGTGCTGATGTCAATTTTGCTCGTCGACTCCGATCGCTTATGGTTTGATTCGGCTCGAGTTCGGTGGAGCCGAATTCCATTTTGGAGTGACGTGTCGAGTCCAAGCCGATCAATGCAATTCACGGGCCGGCTAGTATATTAGGAAAATAAAAGGGAAAAAAAAAAAAAAAAATCAAACATAGCAGCTGTGAGCTGCATTTTAAAGGCAGATGTGTGTCTACCTATTAAAAGGCATTATTGAGGACTCAGGGGCAAAATTTAGAAAACGTTAAAAAAAAAAAAAAACCCCAAAAACTTGCTCAATTTGATGATTGGGGTCGTTTCTGGATTATTTGGTGCAATTGAACTGTTACCCATGGTTGTATGATGTTGCTGTAGACTCTATTAGGACCAATTTTGTGATTCAATGATGCGGGGATGAGGAATTGAAGGAGGCAGATCTGATTTCGTTCGATGCGCTTGTGCGTGGACTGCTTGGTTCAATTCAACCTTGTTGGTTCGAAATTGGCAGTGACCCATACGTCTATTGGATGCGCCATGAAGAGACAGTTCTAGGGGTGGTGGTCCGCCACCGTGGGTAGTGTTTCTAGAGCCGAAAATTGGAGTTGAATGGTCCGAGTCCGCTATTCGTTTTTGTTTGCGTGGGCAGCTTCTTTGACTGGAAATTTCAAGCAGATCTGATGGAGTTTCGGCCATTAGTTGGGTGGGTTGGAACAAGTGAAGTGAGGGCTTCAAGGTAGGGTTGGAGTTGTGGTGGCCAGAATTGGTGCGTTGTTCGTTGTTTGTTGCATGGGCAGCTTCTTTAACCGGAGATTTCAGGCAGACCTGATGGAGTTTTGGTCATTGGTTGGGTAGGTTGGAATGAGTGAAGTGGGGGCTTCAATGTGGTATGTTGGTCGACGACCAAGGTGGTCGGAGGTTGGAGTTGTGGTGGCTAGAAGTGGTAGCTCAAAATTCTCAAAATTCACCTTCTTCCTAGAAATTTCAGGCAGTTTATGCAAGAAAATTAGCTCGATTTTGTTGTGATTTGGGGTTGTTGTTTGTGTAGAGATGTTAGGGGTTGATGAAGAGATGGTGGTGGCGCAAAAATCCGGTGGCTGTGGTGGCCGGAAGTTGGCTTCCATGGTTGGGCCGAAATTTTGTGCCTGAGGTCCTCAATATTGTATGATCACGTGTTTTCGATCCTTAAGTTTGAATTAGAATCAGAAAGGTCCTAATCGTGACCATTTGTGCAAGTTTTTAAATTTAAGTGACCATTAGTGAAACCGCCTGGAACTTAAGTGACCGTTTTTTAAAGTTTTAAACTTTAGTGATCGTTTTGTAATTTTTTTGGTAACTTCAGTGACCATTTGTGAAATTAACCCGATTTAAACTTATTTGATTTAGCTAAAAGTGGAAATAATAATACTAATAATAAGTACTTAAGATAAAACTTTTATCGATAAAAGTTACAAATTTAGCCCTTAATTGATTTAACTAAAAATCAGATTTTTTTTTTAAATTATATTTTGATCAAATTTAAAAAATATGTAGTTGAAAAGTTAAAGAATTGTGTGACTTTAAAATGAATTATTGACTTTAAAATGAATTATTGACTTTGTCTTAGATTTTTATCAATGTCTTGCTTAATTTAGCTAGAATTCAAATTTTCAATATATTTTGATAAAATATGTGATTAAACAATTTGTACAAGTTTGGAGTCCAAAAAATTTGTGGTTGAGAATGAGTTTTAGAAATGAGATATGCTACATGTATGGGTTCATTTTGTCAGAATGGTGCCAGATTCAAACTTGTCTGGATTTCATTGGCAATTGTGTCAAAAATATTTTTCAACTATCCAATCACAAATTGCCAAGTATGAATCTGGCACCTATCTGATAAAATGAAAATATACAAGCATGACGCAGCATTAATGTTTAGGAAATTTGGGCAAACAGGGAGTAACTTTTTAGTCCAATCAAACTGGGACTTAGTGTTTGAGGCAATTACTAATGTGTCCCCAATCTTTAATTTGATTGTTTATATTCTAAAATTTTATCGTTTTCGATGTAATAACCCGAGCCTCTATATCTGAGTCTTTAACTCATATATACTATCCGCTTTAGGAGAACACCTATTCATTTTACTCTCACGAATTTCTATCATGTCTTTGAATTTAACTTAAGTATCTTAGAAAATAAAAGTCTTGGGTTCGAATATTGCAAATTCGATAGAAAATCTGTGCAGGTAACACGGGTAAGGTTCTACCAAAGCAGATAATATGTATGATATAACGGTTTGGATATAGAAGCCCTGGTAGTTATAAAAATTGTTTACAATATGTATAAGTTAATGGCTTGGACATAGAGTTTTAATTCGTTACATTCCCTAAATTTGTTCCATGAAGAAAATAGCAAAAGGAGAAGAACATGATTTGTGTTTCGGTTTTGAATTTTAAATTCATTTTCAATTTTCTATTTTAGGATTGCTAAAAATATA